GCATAAAATGTGTGAGATTTATGAAATACTACCATTCTACATTAAAATAGAAAGTGTGTGTTGTTGTTGGTAATACTTGTGTGTGTTTTATATCCCTTCAGTTTAACTAAGAAGTCAACGTAATAGGAAATAAAAAAAAAACAATGTCCCTTTAACTCAAACCAAAACTAAGCTATTTTAACAGCTAATCTCCTGCCATGTCGTATATCGCATGATGTTTCACTGTTGCAAAGGAGAGCGGTGACAAAAAGGCAAAACATTTTCCCTCTCTCTCTGCTTTAGCCGTGCAAACTGAGCCTAATGTAAATTGTGCTGCCAAAACCTGAAGCTAAACGGTAAAGTGATCCTGAGTCTGTGTCACCTCCACTCATGTCAGGCAGTGGCTGAGGAGTGGCCCGTTCGTCTGGGCTTGGGGCTGGTTCCCATTACGATGAGTCTGATGGAGACACGCGGCCCATTACCGAAGGGTCGTGTTGAATATGGGGAAAGCAGGCGACGCGCACAGGCACTGGACCGGAGCGAAGGAATGAATTCAGTTAATGAGTCAAGGGGATACTAATGTTTTAGGCATACTTCAAAATATGTATTCGCTGGTGCACCTCGCATAATAGGTATGAAAAGTAGGGCAATTGTAGATTGTGTGGCTGCAATAAGCAAATCGCAAAGACTGCAATGTTTCAAGTTCTTTCCAAAAATAGAAAAATAATACTCTTACTTTTAGATTTTTTAAATTTCATGTTGTTGTCAGGCAAGAAGCAATATTTTCGCATTCCAAACAAGACATATCATCTTTTTCAAAAGCCCAAATTGACAAAATTAATGTAATTATAGAATATAAAGAAAGTACTTCATTCAAATATTTATATATATATATTTAACATTTTTGAGGTGAATATTTTTTTTCTACTTCTACTACCATTTTATTCTAGAAGAATTGGTGTACCACAGGTTAGAACATTTTCTATACTGTGTGAGAATTGTGTATGAGTTGCTTTAAGTTGCGTTTTAATTATGATTTGATTATATGTATGAAATATTATATTATATATATGTTATTGATACAATAATATTTTTATAAAATTGACTGAATGAAAAATTGCAAGTCGCAATATTGGTCAGAAATAATTGCAATTTAATATGTGCAGTGAAAGGTATACGGTTATGTCAAAAAGTAAATAAGCGTAATAGTGACAGGGGACAGGTTGGAATATAGTTTAGGCAGTTCATTTCCATGTAAGACTGGAAAATGTTGCTCTACAGGGAAGAGACGACAAGAACGTTTTGTGTAAAATAAAATCTGTGAATTCACTTTATGTATTCAAACCTTGTATTCGTGTTGGAAAAGCTCAACTTTAGGTCTCAATAAAAAAAATGCATGTTTGTAGATTTGTCCTTAGATCCGTTCTGCATCAACTGTAGTATAGCTCAACAGTTTTAGACAAACACTAGGATCCCATAACCTGTTTGCAAATATAGTCACATCCTTTAGTTCAAATGAAATCTTGTCTGTATCCTGAGCTATAAACAGCCCCGGACAGTTGCAAAAGTCTTCCATGTCATATATTTAATCCATCCTAATTTAATGAGACCAACCATTCAACAAGTCTCATCTATAAAAGTCGCGCCCTTTGCTCCGTCCCAGTCTAGTTAAATGTTTACTGTGCACCACTGGAGCCCAAATGTTGCAAAGCCGTCTGGTGCGACTGCTGAAGTTTTGAATGGGGGTTTCAAATGGATTCGCCCTGGTCTGGTGTCTGTAGGGGGCAGGGGGCAGGCTCCTCGGATGGCCCTATGGAGAGACCCGGACACATCCATTGCCTCCTCTCTGCTCAAAGAGAGGAGTCTGTTGTGATGGAGAGGAAGCGAAGGCATTCTGTTTACAAAAATATAAACCAACCTCTCACACCTAAAACTATATAAATACACGACTCTAGAAATTGTACATCTATATTTCAGTCAGTACAGCAGAGGTTCTAAAATTGAGGTCCAAGAACAACTTCAGAAGAGTAGGTATCGCACACCAAAAAGTTCTCAATGAATCGGGGAATCATTTCAAAAACAAGAAACCATTGCACACTCAAAAATATGATTCCTTCATCAGGTTATTATTTGCTCTTTCTCTGGGGGCGACAATATACAAACAACAACTTCAACCCCTAAAATACAATGGAATTTCTTCTGATCTACAACCCTAAATGAAGGTTTTATAAAAATCTAAGGAATCGAGAAAAGAATATCCAATAACAAGTTACAATATACATGGCATTATTGTATTGAACTGTAACAGATTGGTTTAGGAGTCTGCGGCCTCAAGAAGTTTGGGAACTCCAGCAAGACGGAGAGTCATTCAAGCTGTATTTAGACTTATATAATAAATAATATCAATTCAATTCAATTTATTCTTGTATATTCCTAAATCACAACAGTAGTTATCTCGGAGGACTTTACACAACCATTGAATTTGCATACACAGATCAAAGTAACATTAATAATAAATATTTCTTTGTGTAGTACATATTAGTCCTTTATATAAATCCTGCACAGCCAGCATTGAAACAATACAATACTTTGTTTGACTAATTCCATTTTGTCTTGTTAACAAAAGTTACACTGATTGTTGCAGTCCAGTTGTGCTGTGGCCTCGGTCAGGACATGAGCACTATACTTGTGAGATATTTGATATATGAGACTTGTGGTTATAATCCAGAGATAATCTTATACTGTCTCTTCTTTATGTATTACTTTCACCCATCAGCCAAAGCTCAGCTGTCTCTATTCCGAAACATCAAGCTCCTTTGAATGAGTTTCACCTTTCACTCAATGGCTAAAAACATAAACAAACTATCCTCAACAGTTGCAAAAGGTTTGGTAAAAGAAAAAGACACGGAGAAAACGAGCGAAAGCCTGAGATTTCTCAATACAAACATGAGGAATCATTTATCTTTTTCCATCTCGACTTTCAGTGCCAGTTACTTTTCTCCGAGTTATGTTTATGTCGCCTGTTGGGGAGACGTGTTAAAGCATCATATTTTTTGTGAAAAATACAGAGTTGAAGAATAAGGCCATGTGCATGTGATGTTATTTTGGAGGCTAAAGAAGGATCTCCTCGTATGATCAGTGAGACAGAGGAGATGAGGAGGATGTTTGGGTATGAAAGCAGAGAATAAAGCAAACACAGTGTTGACATCTGAGTTGCATTAATGTCAGAGGTCTCTTGGTCCGCACGCTGCACATGTTTGTTTCTGCTTTCTTCACTGGGAATCCACTCGTTGGAAAGGTGGCGCCTTCGAGAATAAATAATGTGACAATCTGATCTTCCATGGCCAAGTTGTGGAGATCAAATAACAAAAAAGATCAAGTTCTCGATTCCATAAGTCAAATGTATGTTGGATTTAATTCAATGTGCTTTTGTATATTCACAAGCACGTTTTGTCTTCTAATCGTAAATTCAAAGCTTAAACTCTCAATTTAAATATCAAAAACAAATAAAAAAGTTATCTTCCACCACCCTAATTCTCTTTCTTTATGTTTAAATTACAAGATCAAGTAGTTTTATTTGGCTAATATAACTACAGACGACTCAAATGCCTAAACAATCTCCTAAAAGCAGCAGCTGCACGTATTCTGAAGGATTGATATGCCTTTCTAATATTTGAGGCTATAAAGGATATTGCCGGAGGCCGCTTTCCAAAAACTGTCATAACATCCGCCATAAACTTCAGCCTCGTGCGTAAAGCTGACGGACAGGCCTCGCCAGGCGCAGACCGAAAAACACACAAGCGTATAACATTTACACACCAAATTATTGTCCAAAAACAAAAAAGATTTCAGACAAAAACTCTAACTGGCTTAAAGCATTTTTCAAGCTTTTCATTTGATTTTAGAATTGGAAATGTTTTTAGGAACGGATTTATAGAAAACTATAGTGCACTTAAAATGAAATAAATATCTTCAATGGAAATAATATTACTAACACTGCTACTGCTAATATTAAGTAATACTAATAACATTGCAATGTAGCTTAATTTAACTTTTAAACCATATTATTTATAATGTAAGACATAAAGTGTTTATTGCCTCAGTGGCCTATAATCCCTTAAATTTTAAACAAAAGACACAATAACAAAAGACTGGGAATACAATATCTTATTTTGCTCTTGAATATTATGTGCGTATAGCTATTATTGCGCCAAGTTTATTTTACGCTGTTGTCGCAGATAAAAAGGCCTCTATTGGTTCCACTCCGTTGCCCTTAGTTTACACGTTCAAATTGGGATTAAAAATAAAGAGGATTTAACCCAAGTCGACCTCAACAGTTTGGGCTCTTTGCAGCTACTGCATCAATTATCATTAGTCCTATTAAAGGCGTGATCCCACTGCTCCTCACGCCGCCGCTGCGCGAGGCCTAATTGGAGCCAATCAGCGGCGACTCTGCATCTCCACAGACTGAGGCTCATCCGAAAACCTGTTAATTCAATTGTGCGTCTCAGCCCCGATATTAAGGATTCTAATGCAGCTTATCGAGTTAAACCACAGCACTAATGCAATAGAGGATTTGACCAAGAAAAAATATGTGTGAGACATTATTAGGCTATAGATATTAGGCCATAGCCTCCGCGGAAATGTCTGCTTTACTAACCATGGCACCACGTCCAGAGGTCACAGAGATTATTATTTTACGCACACACTAACAACTACAAAATAAGAAGTTAATGTCACCAGGGGGTTTACTTAGCACAGCGTGAATAAGCTGGATTGAAGTCAGCCTAATTAGCAATGGTTCACTTTCTGCCAAAGAATAGAAAACACAACCATATGTTTTCTTCGAGAACTCATCAACAATAAGCGCATGTGGGATATGAGATGTGTGAGCATGAGCTGAGCCTGAGATGAGCACGCCACTACAGTGAGTGACATGATCCCAACTGCACAACACGTTTAGTCATAGTTAAATCTACTCTAACAACACAAACGAAGTGAACATGAGGCGGCTGTCTCACCATAGCAGTGGACGGCCGTCCCGTTGTGTCCAGTGTCTTCGTGCGCGCTGTCCTCCTCCGGGGGCGTCTTGCAGGAAGACCTGAAGTGCTGATATTTGCTGAAAGAGTCCTCTCCACTCGTGGTCGTAATTGCTGCTGCTGCTGCTGATGCTGCGTCCAATGAGTGGCACTTCTCCGCGTACGTGTCGCTCTTGTTACTGAGGAGGAAGGGACTGTATCTGTGCGAGTCAGCGGAGGGGAACGTCCTGAAGAGCTGCTCCCTGCTTTGTGCCGAGGACATGTAGTAAGAATCCATGGATGTCATGTCGTAGTGTGGGACGCGAGCTTCTGCGTTCATGCTTTTAAAATAGGAGCAAAAGTTAGTCTCTCTTGCTCTCCCCAGGCTTATACACCCCTCCTCTTCCTATACCTCAACACAGCAGATGTTTTCACTTATAAAAGCATTCAGATCTTTTCCAGGAACCACTGTCGCTGACCACGCTCCCGCTTAATCTGACTCAAGAGATAGTTGGGATCGAGTTGGGACCACTCTCTCCTCCTCGTCGCGATCCCATGTGATTTTATGTGACTGACACGGAGTGGTGAGGTCATGTAATAGATGGCCAAAGAAGGAGGGGGCTTAACACATGACATGAAACCAGTGTTGGAAATGAACAGGCCATATAAGCCCTGATGAGTGATGGCGCTTGGGCGGAAAAGGCACGATTTTACGCATTATTCGCAACGGTTCGTCGGGACCAAACTATCCATTTAAGCGCGCCGTGGTGAAGGATGCTACTTCCTGAAAATATTCCGCAATATTCTGTTTTGCCTCCTTAATTTAGGTATTTGATTTTTTAAATATGTACAACGCAGAATATATATGAGAAATAACATATTGACACACAATGACATTCTCTCATGGGAAATGTGTATAGAAAGTTGTGCAAAAGTGGCTATAAAGTTTATTTATAAAACAATTGAACAAAACTTAATATTCTTTATTCGTCCCACAGTGGGGAAATGCCAGTGTTGCATCACAAGGTAATATTAAGTATACCACAACTTCCCAAATGTCTCAAAAAAGTTTTAAGAGTTGCATTAGTGTGTATGACAACAACGTACAGTGCATAGTAATAAAAACAGGTTTTTGAGTGCCATCTGATTAAATTTACCCCTATAGTTGATGAGGGGAACTTGTCTTTAAACAAATAAATTCTGTGATGTATTTGGATCTGAAGGGAAACGACATATAGCACATCTTTAAAGCCATGCAGAGCGCTCTGATCCCTCACACATGCTGCACATATGACGCTGCTGCATGTGTGAGGCAGATAAAAGAGGACACAGTGGGACACAAAGACTCCTTATTTACATTTTCTGGGACCGAGGCTGCCTTCAAACTAACTTGCACTGCTCTTGGACCTGCACTAAACACGAGAGACTAAATTATCCTCTCATTCAAACGGTTTATCCAATGAGCCTTTCCACTTTTCTCCGTTATTAAATCATTTTGAGACACACCATCCTATGTATCATGTAGTATATTTGTATCTGGATCTATATAAAAAGATTATATGTGGGCTTTTAATTTGAGCTGGTTACTAGAATTAATGTTGTGTATTTGAGGAAATTGTCTAAAAATCATAAACTATTTAAAAATGTGCCTCATGAAAGAGTTTGCTAAACATAATTCATCTTCCGTTTTAACAAAACATTCGTTATTTACTATAATTATATATCCACTATAAAGCAGTGTTTATTGGACAATACAAATTATGTTTAATTGACCTAGTTAAAGCTGTAAGTTGTAAGAGAAACACAATGTTCTGTTTTGATCTCATTCAACATGAAATCTGAGTAAAATTCTAAACTCACAAAGAAGAAACTTGTTGCATAAAAACATAAAACCTTTGTCTTTCTGTGGAAAAAGGAAATAGAAAAGTTGACTGTCAATCTAAACCATGCCTACAGCACTTCACGGTCAGGAAGACGGACTGTAACCGGCTTTCCCCAACTTTATCAAAATCCGGATACATTTAATGTGGCTCTCTATTAAATCAGGACCGTGACTAATTTTCTAGGAAGCCATTCGTAATTATGTTTGATTTTTCAGTACAAAGACATTGTGTGGTTGGCATAATGGGGAAGCCTGTTATGATTGTCGATGGCTATAACCAGGCGATAACCTCTTGCACCCCAAAGAGGACTTTCTATTTAGGATAGTTAGGAATGTGGGGGTTATAGACAAACACAAGGAAGAGCCACATCCTTATGGAGGAGAAAACATTAAACTTTAGCCTCTGCAGCTTTAGCCTGTGGCAAAGGACTGGTGATTGAGGTCTTTGATGGGCATTAATGCAGCGTGGAGAGTCGCCTTTGTTCCAAAATGGCAAAGAACAGGAAACACAGAAGGGCACAAGGACATCTTAGTTAATTCTATTCAAACATGTTCTTTATACAAGGCGTGCTTGTCTAAGGATTTGTAGACATTTAAAGCTTGAATACCTAACTTTTGTTTTATTTCATAAATACATTGAGTTTGACAATGGTGTCTTTATCAGATATTATTAATACATGGATATGAAAACTAGTGATACAACCAAACAAACTTAACTACAGTAACATGGATTTTAGCTTTTTTTGTTTCGTTTCGAAGACAAATCCAGCTTTAATTAACTCAAGACAAGGGTCGGAGTGGCGGAATATTGTGTACTCCTCAATCATTTGTCCTGGTCCTGGGAAGGCGTTTTCCACCAAATCTAGACTTTTCTCTATTTTAATCCTGCTTAGTCTTAAGAGCTTTCTCAGCTTGGGTCGCTTTTACTTCATTAGGTTAGTTCACAAAGCTCTTTCTCTAATTGTTTACCTTCTGATTGTCTGACTGGTCTCTTTCGAAGAGGCTGTTTACACAGAGATGCTGCGACAGTAAAACAATAGAGTTGGGTATCGGATTGGCCTTTCGCTTAGACGAAGACGCTTTTTCAGGGGGTAAAACGCTACCGTTGAAAAACGGCCTCCAGAATGGAACAGAACAGATACGCTGCTCGGCGGGGGGCTGTTTCACAGCCGTGTGAAGAAAAAGGTGTGATTCCTTTGCCTACTATGACCTCACCACTTCCCCGCACGTACATTTGGACATGTGCAGTAGCCAAGAACAAACGTAAACAACAATGGCGGCGGTGCTTAGTTTGTTACACGGAGGAGAATTCTACTCCTTCGTTTGTCCAAGGATGTTGTTGAGGAAGTAATTATACTGGTGTGGGTCGCGTGTGTCGTACTGTAAAGTTCCACTGCCCACTACTGGCCGGGCGCTAGAACAACATCGTTTTCCGTCGTCGCGTAGACGTTGTGCACTTCGAATACGGAGCCAGGTCGTTTTTGCAAACTGCTGTGCAGTGTCTCCGCAGCTTGTCCGTCTAAACAAGGCCTTAGCTAAAAGGTTGTTGTGGATGTCAGCCTGCTTTGCCTTCACAATTGTAAAGCAAGACATATCACTATTGTCTATTGTAAAGATGGTAATTTTGTGTACTCCCGTAGATGAATGAGAGGAAATTGCTTTCTTTAAATTCAATAAAACATGTGTATATGTTGTCAGAGCACATTTCCAGTGCATGTCTAAATTCTAGAATAGCATGAAAGCCAACCCTCTGAGTTTTGATCGACACCTGAGTTGTAGCTTGAGCCTCGACATGTGAAAATAATCTGTCTTTTGTTGGCTCACTGTCACATTGTAAACATGAGTCGAAGTGTTTCGTCATCAAATATCTGCTCTAGATCTCACTCAAACACAAACACTGATTCTCTGTCATATCCCATTACTTTGTTTATAACCTGACACTAAAACGAGACTTTCAGAAAACACGGCTCAGCAGGCGGGTAACAGCAGAACTTTATGTAGAGTGTTGGTAAGGTTTGGGTTTTTAAACGTATATAGAAGCATGTATACATTTTACTGCACATATAGAAACAATCGATGAACTGAATGAACAGTTGTAAACACGGTTAATGGGTTAGTCTTTGTATTCGGGGCCGTTTATAATGTGAGGGTAGCACTCGACCAAAGAAATTCCAAAAGGGGGCGTGACAAAATCTCTCAAAACTATTGTGGTTAGCCAACTTTTTTAATGTTCTGTGATTATTTATGTGTTCATGACTTGAATCTTTACTTTATTGTTTTTTTAATTTTTTTATGCAGTGTGTATGAATTGTGCCGTACAAATAAACCTGCCTAGATGTATCTGAATAAATTACTAGACATCAATGACTTTATTCATAACAAAATTTGTTGAATAGACCAAATGAACCTTGTTGGACTGTTTTCAAATTCAGTCTTTCACAGTTTCCTTGGAAAGATTGCAGCATCAACAGAAATATACAAATGTACAATAGGTCTGGCATGCGCCTCCTGTACTGGCGACCTCGCTCCCATCTCTGTGTGGAGTGAGAGACAAATGCCCAAAAAATAACAATTGTAAACCGCGTTGTGACTCTGGTCTGTGAAAGGCAGTATATAAATAAAAATTACTTACTTAATTACTTAATATAAGGTAGGCCCATTTTTTTATTACTCTACAATTTCATCATTCATTATATTGTGAAAATACTTCTCTGTTGGAAATGAACAGCTAATGTAATGTAAAAGTCATTACAAAATATATACCTTTATATATAAATATATACTGTATGTTGTAAACTAAATAAATCCAAAGCAGTGGTTGGTCTTATTTTAATATAGCACGCCAAAGGAGGCAGAGACCTAAAGGCATCTGTTCCTACTTTCTATATATCTCCAATAAAGATGGTGGATGAGTGTTATCTTGTCTAACAGACTGAGACAGAGCTCTGCACTCAAACATCTGGTGCACTGACTCCACATCTGGATCAAAACACCAAACAGGTATCTGATCATCATTGTTTTCACTTCAATGGATTTGGAATCCTCCACAACTTTAGTATATGGCATCACGAAGAACGAATGTTTTACATTTTATGAGCTAACGTGATAAGATTTGCAAATCAGAAGCACACAAAAACTTAATGTGCGTGATTTTTGTGGAAAAACATTACTTTCAATTATATTAATTATATTTGAATTATTGACATACTCTTTAAATAATTTTCTCAATTCAGAATAAAAACTAGGCAAGCTACTCAGATAAGAAATCCACTGGAATTTAAATATACCTTCTCTGCCGTCCCATCTGGTCTTCATAGACTTTTACTTTTCTCAAATCTTCACACATAGATGTGGTGATAGTAGCTCATCTATCCAAACACCACAACACAGAAGAAAGTATCCACACATGAAAGGTCATTAGTGTGTGTGTAAATGTATGCCATATGGGACTGTACCTC